TTTTTTTTTTTTTTTTTTTTTTTTTTTTTTTTTGAGATAGGGTTTCACATGTAGCCCTGGCTGGCCTGGAACTTGCTATATAGACCAGGCTGGTCTAGAACTAACAGTGATCTATCTGCCTCTGCCTCCTCAGTGCTAGGATTAAAGACCACCATGCCTGGTTTATACTTAGTTTCTTAATCAGTCACTAATTTGGTCAGGTCACCCTTTAGTCATTTTGGGTAAGCCATATGCATCTTCTTAACTACTGACGTTACCTCCAGTGAATACTGTTACAGTCAGGGGTGCATCGTTTGTATCAAGGGGTGTGTTATATTTAAGACCCCAAAGCCTGCAGTGTGGGGGCAGACAGCCGGTGAGCAGAGAAGAGACCATGGTGCTGTCTCTGGGGTAGTTCTTGGGCAATGTATTTGGGTACTCCAAATACATTAAATGCATTCTTTCCTTTCAGATTTGTGTGTCTAATATCATGCACATAAAATCATATCATAATCATGTGATTAATGCCTTTTATGACTTGAAGCTCTGTATTTAAAAATTGTAGCTGGCAAGCATCTAGCTTCCTATCCATCTGAGTTTTAATGTTCTCATTTATAAAAGGTGGTGTGTACTGATGGGTGTTCCATTCCCATCTTAAATGCTAGATCTTAGGCATTCTTTGATTTTGGTTTATACACTATTAGTGATAATCAGTATGAAATGTTTATGGGCCCATTGTCAAGATCTGCATGTCTCTGCCTCTGAGCTTCTTGAGGACAGAGGAGCAGCTCAGTAAAGCTGCTACTCCATCCAAGGGAGAGCGCCTGTGGCCCCATGGGCCCTTACTGATAGAAGTGCCATCTGCAGCATTTCCGCAGCTCAACCCCTGTGTGGAGTGCCAAATGATGATGACATGGACTCCTTTTTTAGGAATAGCTGACTTTGAATGTATTAAACATCCAAATATTTGTTATTAATTAGAAATGTTTCATTTAGTTTCGGTTTTGTTATGTGTTTCCAAGGCTGACTTCAAATTTGTCATCTTCTGTCTCAGCTTCCCAAGTATTTGGGATTACAGGAGTGTGCCACCATGTTTATCTTACCTTGATTTTTTTTTTTTTTTTATTTATAGGGAAGAAGGTTTCTTAGTTTTCTCTTTAGTTGGAACATAAACTTTATTAAAATGATCCATGGAACCATTAAAAATCAATTACCAGGATTACAAAAGTAAGTATTAAAGGTAATTAAAAATTTGGGCTGTCTTAATCTGATTTTGAAAGATTCTGTTTGACTAAAAAAGTATGTGTGTGCGTGCATGTGTTGAGATAGTCTTGCTCCGCCCATAGCGCAGGTGTTTGGCCTAGGATGACATGGTAATCTTACTGCTTCAGCCTTCCAAGTGCTAGAATTGCAAGTGTGTACCTTGGTTATACTAACATACTAGAAGCTTAAAAAATTGTATCCTGATGTACTACTGTATCATTAGGTAGTTATTTTCCTCATATAAGAAATCATTTTTCCAGTAATGACTATTGAAATTAAGATTTTAACTTGTGATAGTTCTCAAGATGCTGTGTGTTGCCTAGGATAATCTTCAATTCTTTTAAAAAAATTTATTTTTATTTTATGTGTATGTGTGTTTTGTCTGTGTGTAAGTGCACCCATGTTGTGTGAAGCCTGCAGAGGCCCGAAGGAGTTGGATACCCTGGAATTGGAGTTACACATAGTGGTCAGCTGCCATGTAGTGCTGGGAATCCAAGTCAGGTCCTCTGAAATTTCAGTCAGTGCTCTTTGCTAACTGCTGAGCCATCTCTCTAGCCCCATGATCTCCAATTCTTGGACTCAGTGATCCTCCCACCTCAGTCTCTGGAGTAGCTAGAACAACAGGCAGAGGTAGTTTTTTAGTCAAGAGTATTATGCCAGTTACAGCTTTCCCTCCCAGCAGAGCCCATCTTGTTAGCATTTGGGTGACATTTGGGATAGAGAGTACACTGTCTAGTTGAATGTAGGCTTAACTGTGACTTGGAAGGGGCTCTGTGGTGTAAGCTGGAGCAGCTAGAATGTGGAGTTATAGTCTTGTGTTCTTCTTTACTCAACAGTCAGAGCTGCCATTCAAGTATGTGCATCTACTTAGGTGCTGTTCTGAGTACTTCCTCTGTATTTTTAAGTCATTCCTCACAGCTCTGAGGTGAGCTGCAGTTACTAAATTCATTAGTGCCACGCAGCTGCATAAACAGTGAGTGAGGATTTGATCCTGGAAGTCTTGAGTGCAAAACTCTTGGTTTAGTCTAAGTTTTCCAGTATGTAAGTAATTAGTACTTGTGAAAGTCCAGAATGACTCTAAGCCAAAAATACATTTAAAGTTAGTTTTTAAATTTTTAAAAATTGTGTGTGTGTATGTTTCTTTGTATAGGTTTATGCACCTGAGTACAGGTAGGTATCTGTTGGAGGCCAGCAAGGGTGTTGGATCCTCTGGACCTGGAGTTATAGATGGTTGTGAGCTGCCTAACATGGGTGCTGGGATCTGGATTCAGGTCCTCTGGAATAGCAGTATGCCGTCTTAAAACCACTGAGCCATCTCTCCAACCCTTAAACTTTTTTTTACTTAATGACTTTATTCATTGTGTGTGAATGTATATATGTATGTGGACATGAGAACAACTTGTAGGAGTTCTGTCCTACCACCATGTGGGTTGCAGGGCTCCAACTTGGGTCATTGGGCTTGGCAGCAAGCACCTTTACCTGCTGAGCCATCTTGCCAGCCCATATTTAAAGTTTTTTGACTTTAGAACTTAGGTCTGGATCTGTGTTGAAACAGTGTCACAGGAAGTGTTAATGTTCTTAGGGAAGCCTTTACTGAGGAGGGGTCTCCACTCCAAACCCCTTTCCCCAATCCTGTCATCTTTCTACTGCAGGTAGGTAACATCTCAGATGATATACGGAACTCTTCCTAGGGCAGTAGAGAAATTGAAGTGATATATGGTAAAGCTATAATTCTCTAAATGTGTTAAACATCTTTTTTTAAAAAAATAGGTCTTTGATGGTACACATTGCAGAAATTTATTTCAGAGCTTGGAAAAAGGCTTCTGGGCAAGTATTGGAGGTATTTTCCTTTTATTAAATATTACTGTATTCTAGTTACTAAAGAACTGAGGAGGGCTGTTTGAAACTTGTACCTGGTCTACAAGTAGTGGCACTGTGACAGAAATGTGACAGTTTTGACTCATTGTGTCCCACATGTTGGGCCTCAGCCTCAGATACGGCTTTACTGGGTGTGCAGCATGAATGAAGTAAAGGTTTTGCTCCTTACTCTGTCATCGCTGGGCCTATACCGTCCACCCCCCTGGGTTATTGGGTTCTTGGAGAGTGGCCACGCAAAGGAAGATGTGTCAAGTGAAAGAGTTACATGCCATGCTTCAGATACTGTCTGAAGAACATGAAACATTTCGATGCTGCTTTCTAACAATATTGATAGTCCATTGAGATGGTAGTGGGTTGCATATACTGGGCTAAACAAGATATAATATTAAAGTATTTTGACTTGTTTCTTTTTCTGGTTATAATGTGGCTATTTGAAAGTGTAAAGTTCAGTTTGTGCTTGCATTCTGTTTCTGTGGGTGGTGCTGTTGTGGACTCTTGGGTACCTCTCAGTTATGTTAAGAATTTAGAGACGTTTTGATTATGGTTAGGCTTTTTTTGGGGGGGGGGTTTCTTTTGAGACAGGGTCTCCCTGTAGCCCCTACTGACCTGGAACTCACTATGTAGACCAGGCTGGCCTTGAACTCACAGAGATCCGCCTACCTCTTGCAGGGATTAAAGGCGTGCACCACCATGCCTGCCTGGCGGTTAGGGTTAGCCTTTGAGAACTACACTACACATGCAGACAGTCTTTATAATTACAATCCCTGGGGGGCCGGAGAGATGGCTCAGCGGGTAAGAACACCAACTGTTCCTGCAGAAGACCTGGGTTCGAATCCCAGCACCCACATGGCAGCTAACAGCTGTCCGTAACTCCAGTTCCAGGGGATCCGACAGTCTCTTCTGTTCTCTGCAGGCATTGCAAGACACGGATGCACTTAACCTACATGCAGGCAATACATGCATACACATAAAAATAATAAATAAAATATTAAAAAATAATTACAATCTCTGTTAAATATCCAAGAGGCCCTTTTGGACATAATTCAATTATTTGCTACCTGTATGTCTCTGATTCTATGTCTTCAACAGAAGAGTAAAAATGTAAATCCAGATGTGTCCTTGGTGAGCTGTCCTCTGTCCTTACTCTTGTCTTTGGAGAGCTGCAGTGACTCATGGAGGTGGGGAGGGTGCCATAGGGCAAGTGGAGTGGAGTCAGTGGTGTTTGCAGTTTGTTTCTGTCCACGTTGCTCTTCTGGCTATTTGCTTGGTCTCACCTGGATTTACCATTGACTTCTACTTCTGGGAAAAAAAAAAAAAGTTACTATATTCCTCTTTGGTTAACTTTTAACCTAGTTTTAGAGTGTGTAATCTTTTGGGCAAAGGAACAAAACCAGGGCATTATTAAGCATTAATGTAGTTGGTTTTTTTGGAGACTGGGTCTTACTGTGTAGCTGAGGTTGGTCTTGAACTCATAATCCTCCTGCCTCAGCCTCCCAAGTACTTACAGGTATTTGCCATCATACCTGGTTTTAAGTCCATATCTATTTTTTTTCTTTTTATTTGTATATGTATATATTTGTGGGTACATGTGTGTCATGGCACACTTGGAGGTCAGTGGATAGTTTGCAGGGGTCAGTTCTTTCCTACCCTGTGGCTCCTGGATAGTGAATTCAAGTTGTCAGGCATGGCAGCAAGTGCCCTTATCTGCTGAACCATCACACCAACTCTTTAAGTCCTTAATTTTTTTTTAAGTTAATTAGATGATATGTACAACTTTTATTTCAATTAAGAAATATTTTGTATTTATTTTTATTTTTTTGTGTGTGAGTGTTTTGCCTACCTATATCATGTATGAAAGTGTACCACGTACGTGCAAACGTGCAGTGTCTAGAAGCGGCACTGGATTCCCCTGGACTGTTAACTGGCATGTTGATGCTGGAAACTGAACTCAGGACTTCTGGAAGAGGAGCCAGTGCTTTTAACATCAAGCTATCTCTAGCCCTCAGTTTTTTTAAAAATATTTTTTGAATCAGTATCCAAAAATTTTGTTCTCATGGCTTTGCTTGTTGCTCTCTTTAAGTCTAAGCTGTTGATATGTTGGGGATCCAGGAAAGTTGTCCTGTAGAATAGAATAGAATATCATTCTGATAGTTACAGTTTGCCCATAGGTAACTCCTAGGTCATGTGGTGTAACTCCCATCACCTGTCATACAGCATGCTACCCCCACATTCAGAGATACATGAATGACTTGTTTTCAGGATAGTACTGATAACAAGCCTGCTGTGTCCTTCCCTAAAGCCCTGGGACGTCCCAGGTCCCTGGGATGGAGGTAACCTGCGGTCTGCTGGGCCTGACTTTTCCTCTCTTATTCCACCCTGAGGCTCTTCAGCAGTGTGGGTGCTCAAGAAATTTCTCACACACTTCTGCCCCAACCTTTATCAGCTGTAGCCCCCAAAGACCCACCTCCACTGTAAAGGTATTCCATTGTGTTTCTGGAAAGGCTCTTGATACAGGTTCATGCTTGTGAACATTATCTGGGTCAGGACTACTTATTTGGGGTCTCTTTGGCTGTGCACACTCCTTTCTCCCAGTCTCTGAACTTTGCCTGATTGAGCTGGCTTCTGGTGATAGTGGGAAGTTTGCCTTGCTGTCAGAGTCACTGTTTCATCAGATGAGGTAGAAACAGCCAAGTGTTCTCTTTGTATATGGAAATTAAAAGAATAGTGAGAAGCATGGAGTACAGTAAGCTGTCACAGAAGGGCCCATGGTTTGTCTCCTGAATGATAGTAACAGATCAGATTCTCTACCCAGATCTCCCCCTACCATACTGCCCATCAGTATATGGCCCAAGTTTCTGCTACTGTTTTTCCTGTTTTAGACCATTGAAAACAACTGCATCCAGGACTTCATGTTCCATGGCATTCACCTTCCAAGGAGGTCTCCAGTACACTCCAAAGTGCGAGAGGTGAGTGAGGCACCTCTAATCTATCAGTTGTGAGTAAATTGTTGACATCATGATTTTATTCCTTTTGTTTTTAGAAAATTGTTTTGGCTTAATTTAAATTTAAGCTATGTTTTTACTCCTCCAGGAGGGTTTCTCAGAACTTTGATATTTGATGTCTGGCAGTTTTGTTTGTTACCAATACTGCAATGAAGAAAGAAAAGGTATACTGTCGTTAAGACAGCTGGGACTGTGCTTTAAGCACTGTGGCATGTATCTCTGAAGCTGTTAAGGCCTTCTGTGAAGTGACAACACCATTGATACCAAAACATAATATTGAGCACAAAGATAAAACCACACAACCACTGAGAGGCTGAGGAGGAAGATCATGAGTTAGAGGTCAGTCTGGGAGACAGTGAGACCTTGTCTTAAAAATTAAAAAAAGAGAATAAACAATCAGAAGACCATCCATGAGCTTTAGTTTTTGTTTTTGTTTTTTTTTTTTTTTGGTCTTTTTGAGACAAGGTCTCCCTGAACCTCCAGCTGGCCTGGAACTAGCTATGTAAACCAGGCTGACCTTGAACTCAGAGAGACTAGCCTACCTTTGCCTCCCCTAGTGCTGGGGATTAAAGGTGTGTGCTACCATGCCCTGCATTGCTTTAGGTTTTTCAGGTTGAAGGTGACATGAGTTCACTAGAGTATGGGCTGTTTGTGGTCTGTTTAGTATGTGTTTTCCTTTTTTTTAAAAAAAAAAATTATTTTTACCCAGCACTTGGAAGGCAGAGGCAGGCAGAGCTCTGTGAATTCGAGGCCAGCCTGGTCTACATAGCGAGTTCCAGGACAGCTGCGGCTACAGGGAGACCCTGCTTCAAAAAGACAAAAAAAAAAAAAGTATTTTGTGCATATGAGTGTTATGCCTGCATGTATGTAAATATATCCGTGTCATGCAATGCCTGAGGGGGACAGAAGAAGGCATCAGATCCCATGGAGCTGGAGTTACAGACAGTTGTTAACTGCCATGTGGGTGCTGGGATTTGAACCTTGGTCCTCTGCAAGAGCAGCCAGTGCCAGTGCTCTTTAGCCTCTGAGCCATCTCTCTAACCCTTTCTACTTTCTGTATTAACACTTCAGAATGAACACGCTTCTACTCAGTGTCCTTCACAGCACAAGCTTAATTGAGATTATTACACTTATAAAATAAAAAATAAATAAAAAAATTAAAAAATAAGTGGACAGAAGAGAGCTGGCAGAGCCAGTGCTTAAGGTAATTGAGCATTTTGGAGTCATGAAGGAGCACTGAAGCAGAGTCCTTTACACGTGCCCCTGAAAGTCAGGTTTAAGCAATAGCTTTATGGAGGTTATGTGGTGCTTGATAGGCTAATAGGAATTTTAGTTTTATATTTATTGTTTTTTGAGACTGGGTCTTGTTGAATTGTCCAGATGACCTAGAACTCCTGGGCTCAGGCTTTCTTCTGCTTTACCCTCAAATAGCTGGGGCAGCAGGCATGCACCACTGTTGCCTGGCTTTTATGGTGGAAATTAGAATCCATGCTGTATTAGAGTGATCTTTATTTTAGCCTTGATTGCTTTCTTGTGATTTGCTGTGCTCAGGGTTGTCCTGTGTCTTTGTAGGTTTTGCCAGATAGTGTTCTAAGTGTCCTGATAGTGGCTGGCACAGGGCAAAACAATTCTTTGTCCTGTCTCTGTTTTTGTTTGTTGTTTGTTTTTAAAGGATAGAATATTCATAAAGAAACAGTTTTCCAGACAGCTGGGAAGTCAGTCCTATGAACTCTCAGCAATAGTAACAGCACACACAAGACCCATGCAATCTGAAGCCAGACAAAAACTCAGGATAGAAGTGGGGAAGAAGCCGCAACCCTAACTGAGGAACTGTTGGCAGCTGATGACCACTGGGAGAGGGGGAGTTGGTCTTTAAGGGTGTGATGCTAGATAGGGTAACCAGACTCCAAGGGATGGATCCACACCATAGGACGTTTGGGGACACAAACTTTGCTCAATAGGCCTTAACATATATGATGGAGTACATGAAATCAGGTGTGGGGTGTCTAAAAGTGGTGCAGATAGGGGAGGGGGTCTTAAATGTGGTCAAGATATTGTATAACATTTGCAAAAATTCAATAAAAATATATTGTATGAAACTCTCAAAGAATTAATAAAAACATTATATTAAGAATGTATAAAATTTTAAATGGTTAAGTAAAGCCAACAACATCAAAAAAGATAGACTCTCATGTAGCTTAGGCTGACCTCAAACTCACCATCCTCTTCCCTCAGCCTCCTGAGGGGCACACCACAATGTGTGATTCATACTTTTTTATTTTTATTCTTATTTTGTGTGTGTGTGTGTGTGTGTGTGTGTGTGTGTTGCCTGCATGTATGTAAGTGCACAGTGTATGTGCAGTGCCCACAGAGGCCAGAGAGGGTGTTGGATTCCTCTGAAACCAGAGTTAACAGACAATTGTTAGCTGCCGTGTGTGTGCTGGAAACCAAACCTTGGTCCTCGGGAAGAACAGCAAGTGTTCTTAACCACTTAGCCATCTCTCCAGTCCCTGGATTCATGCTTTTTTAGAAGAACAACATAACCTTCTTTTTCTTTGGCCTTTAGGTGCTGAGTTACTTTCACCAGCTGAAAGTCCGCCAGGGAGTGGAAGAGATGCTGTATAGGTTATATAAGCCCATCCTGTGGAGAGGACTGAAGGTAACATTTTAAACATTGTTTCCAAGGGCAGGATGTAACATGCTTTGAATGGAGGGCATGCTGATTCAGAAACATACCAAGGCAGTGAAAATAAGACCAGAGACAGTATTCTGTAGAATTTGGTAACAGTTTTCTTCCTTTTGGGCTGGAGAGGTGGCTTAGAGAGGTAAGAACACTGGTCGCTCTTGCAGAAGACCCTGGTTCATTTCCCAACACCCATATGGTGGCTAACAGCTGTCCATAACTCCAGTTCCAGAGGATCCAATGCCACCGTCTGGCCTCTGTGGGCATTGCATGCACACAATGCATTATATCCACGGAGGCGAAACACTCATACACATAATATATAAATAAATTTTTTCCCTTTTTTTTTCAGATGGGGGTCTCTGGAATTCTAAAGTAGTCTTATTTTTATAGGCCAGAAATTCTGAAGTTCGGTCCAATGCTGCGCTGTTGTTTGTTGAAGCATTTCCTGTTAGAGATCCAAACTTCCTTGCCACCGAAATGGACAGTGAAATTCAGAAGCAGTTTGAAGAACTGTATGTATGTATTTGCTATGGTGGGCACTCCTTGCTTGCTAGCCTGCATGCCTTGTAGCTACAGGGTCCACACTTCCAGCAGTGCCATCCAGCAGAGGAGTGCCCATTCTCCCCATGTCTGAAGAAGCATGGGTCCACAGTATTCCTTCCTTTCCTTGTTAATACTTTTGCAGTGTCCCATTTATCACCATAGGTAGCTTTCAGGGTTTTGTGTGTGCATGCCTTGTCCTCAGTGGAGATGTGTTATTACTTTGACCTACCGGCTTGACTCTACCTTTCTAACTCTACAGCTTTGTGACTAGCAAGTCATTGCTCTTACTGTCTTCATCTGAGACATCTACATATTGAAAATACTCAAAACAAAAATGTGCCTATATTGAACATGTACCAATGTTATTTCTTGGCGTTATTCCCTAAACAATATAGTAGAATAGCTACTCATGTAGCTTTTATGTGGTATTGATATTATACAAGTTGCCCTGAAGTGATGGAAGACATGGGCTGATATGAAGGGACTGAGCACTTTCAGATTGTGGTATCCTGGGTTGGCCGTCCTAGAATCAGCCCTCTTCAGATACCTAGGACACTGAAGACTATGTGGCCAATATTTCTGTAACATTTTAAGTATCTTACTAAGCTGTAAATTTCCAGAGTGTTAATGTACAATACAAATAATGATTTAAGATTTGTAAGCCTTTTTCCCCCTCCTACTTTTAGAGCCTTTTAGAAGATCCTTACCCGATGGTCCGTTCCACAGGCATCCTTGGTGTTTGTAAAATAACCTGTAAATACTGGGAAATGATGCCCCCCACCATTCTTGTTGACCTCCTAAAGAAAGTCACGGGGGAGCTGGCATTTGATACAAGCTCGGCTGATGTTCGTTGTTCTGTCTTTAAGGTGAGGTTTTTAAAGGTACACAACATTTTTAAATTATAGAATCGTTTCATAGAACTACAGAGACTTTTGTAGGAAATACAGAGCAGGGAAAAAAAAAAACCTAGAAAATCACTTATTGCCCCTCTCAGTGGAGGTAATGTTTAGAACAAAAATGTGCCATGTCAAATGTGTACAGATTTTATTTCTTGCCATTATTTCTAAATAATACCATGGAACAGCTATTGATACTTTGGTTCCAAAGTAAGGCTTAAAACCCAGATTAAAAGTGTTTTCTAGCCAGGTGCAGTAGCACAGGCAGGCCTGTAATACCAGCAGTACTCAAGAGGCTGAGGCAAGAGGATGAGAGTTTGAGGCTTACCTGAGATGCATAGATGCTTTCTCAAAGAAAAAAGTTTCCTACACAGAGTGCCTGCTTGACACAGTACTAACAGTACTGATTGGGTACATTGTACGAGCACTATGGAATTCTTTTTTTTTTTTTTTTTTTTTTTGCCTTTGTGGAATGTTTTAGAGAAGTATGATGACTGTACAACCAAACTGAGTTCACTGTTTTCAGGTACACACAAAGGGATGAAGCCTGGCTCTTGTGTGGGGCTTGTGGCTGGTTCTAGTTGGTTGGGCTTGCCAAGTGCCATTTGACTCTAGAGGTGTCTGGAACTGGTGAATGTGTTGAAGTTTCTTGCCTGCATCAGTGAGATTGGCCTCCGTGTTGCTTCTTCACTGAGATAACAAACCACCCCAGTGTCCAGGGCTGAACCTTTGTCTCCTTCGTTCATCTCTGGGCCATCTTTACATGTGACCAGTATGTAAAAGTTCTTGCATAGGGATACTTTATTTTGTTATTAAAAAAAAAAATTATCTTTATGTGTACTAGTATGTATTGCCTACATGTATGTAAGTGCACCCATGTTGTGCAATGCTCACAGAGGTCAGAAGAGGGCATCTGATCCCCTGAAACTGAAGTAATGGACGGTTATTAGCTTCCATGTGGGTGCTGAGTATTGAACCCAGGTTCTCTGCAAGAGCAACCAGTGCTCTTAACCACTGAGCCATCTCGTCTCTCCAGCCCCAGGGATTATACTTTAAACACTGCCCAGAACCGTGGAATGTATTTGAATTTACTTGAGTGATGTTTTACTTTGTTTTGTTTTGGGGCTTTTTTTTTGAGACCGTGCTGACTCTGTAGCCCCAGCTGACTTGAAACTTGCTGTGTAGACCAGGTTGGCCTTGATCCCATGGAGATTCCCCTGCCTCTGCCTCCTGAGTGCTGGGATTAAAGGGGTATACTACTGTACCTGATTTGAGTGACTTTTTGGGGGGGGGCGTCTTTTTGAGACAGGGTCTCCCTGTAGCCCCAGCTGTCCTGGAACTCACTATGTAGACCAGGCTGGCCTTGAACTCGCAGAGATCTGCCTGCCTCTGCCTCCCAAGTGCTGGAATTAAAGGCATGCGCCACCACGCCTGGCTATTGAGTGACTTTTTTATACTGTCCTGTCACCAGTACCACCAGGAGTTTAAGAATAGTTCACATTTAACTTCCTAAGTGACTTAAGTTTCATAAGTTTATGACCCATGGAAACAGGACTTATAAAACTATGACATACATGAATGTTAGATGGTGGTTTGCAGCATACTGGTTTGTTTTCTTTGCTGACGTGTGATGAAGTGAGAGTGGGTGGGTGTGGCAGCAGGACAAAGGGCTGTCCAGGTCATGATGCTGAGTTCTCAGAGGTGTTGGGATTGGAGTTTATAAAGCTCCCAGAGGGACCAACAGCAAGGAGCTCAGTGGCTTTTTTCACACCACTAGAGTGAACTGTTGAGAAGCTCTGGATCACAGCTTCTCTGAGCACAGAGCCAGTGACTTTCTCTTCTGGAAGCAGATATGTTCAGAGACGGTCTCTGTCCTCATACTGCCATGCTTGGTAGATGTTCTTTTATAATTCGTTTGCTCTGCTGTAGCTGGAAAGGGAGGGGAAAGTTATATATGACAGCTGGGAAACACAGGAAAAACTGTAGGCAAAGCCCTTTGACTGCAGATGCTGTGTGCTGGAAGGAGGCTTTTTCCTTCAGGGGCTTTCCCTGAGTGTACTGCCTTAGGAAGCTGGGGCGCTTCATTCCTTGACAGGGTTGTGGCTAATAACAGTGCCTCCCTCCCCCAGTCCTCTGACACTGAGTTTTGTACCTTTCTACACCTGTCTTTGTGAAATGGCAGTGCCTTCTGCTAAGGGGCCTGCTTGCTGCCCTTACTTCCTCTCCTCCGGTCTCTAGCTATCATCTCACAGCCCTGTCCTTACTGTATTCTATCTGTGTCTTACCTCTAATCTGAGAAAGCCCCTGAAAGATCACATTGAAGTGCCTCTCTGTCAGGTGGTCCCCTTTGCAGACAGGTGGGCTCTGGGGTAAAGGAATGCTGTGCTACAGTTAGGGAGGTGGGACTTAGGGTGGCCTGGCTGGAAGAGGCTATGGAGTGGTCATGGCAGTGGGATACGGCAAGATGAGTCAAGTCATCTCCCTTGGACATGATGTTTTAGAATAGGGGCTACACATACTTAAGTCTGAAATACATTACACATTAAAGTGGGCTTTTTGGTATGCTGTATATATTTCTAATAAATTGAAGAAGTATCCTTTATAGCTTGGAAAAAAGGTAGAAGAGCTTAGGGGGTGTGTATGTAGGGGCTCAGGTCCTAAACTGATGTATTCTCTTACCTGTCACAAGGCATTTGCCTCATGTCTGGAAAGGCTTCTTGCTGTTTCTTTTAAGAACACTTAAAACTTCACTATTTGGCTAAGAGAAAGCTCGGAGTATTTCCTTTTTTGTTGTTGGTTTTTTTTTCCTTGAGACAAGGCCTTGCTTTGTAACGCATATTGATCTTGAACTCTCAGGCCTCCTGAGCCTTCCTTGTCCTGGAAGTGCTAGTAGACCTAACTTGAAGATTTCTTTTAACTCCTTCAACATTGTTTAAATGAAACAATGGATGGACTCATCATTAGCTGTTGAAATAACCTTAACTCACTAAAAGCAAGCCTTTTAAAAATTACATTTATTTGTATTTGTGTGAGTGTGCATGTGGATGGGTGTTGGTATATGTGCTATAGTGCATATGTGGTGTGCATGTAGAGGCCAGAGTTGATTCTTTCCACCATGTAAGTCCTGAGGGTTGAACTCGGGTCATTAGTCATTAGGCTTGGTGGCAAGCACTTTACCTACTGAGCCATATTGCCAACTCCAAAGCATGCCTTTGGTGTGAAACTTCAGGAAGGTGTTTTCTGGCAAGGGTGGAACCTCAGCATCTCAAATGGATGTTTTTTACCTGAACTTTTTATTGGCATGTTCTAATTTTCAAATGCTTTTCTTTTGGTTTTTTGTTTGTTTATTTGTTTTGTAGTGTCTGCCAATTATTTTGGATAATAAACTGAGTCATCCATTATTAGAACAGCTTTTGCCAACGCTCAGATACAGTATCCATGATAATTCAGAGAAAGTGAGGGTGGCTTTTGTGGACTTGCTGCTGAAAGTCAAAGCTGTGAGGGCTGCAAAGGTAAGTAGGGGTTTCACACCGAGTACAGAGGTGTGTTTATTTCCATCCAGCAGAAAGTCTAGTTTTTACTCTTAAGAGCCTTCATAATCACATTTTAACCATTTGATAACTAATTTGACAGATTGTCACAACTTTATTTTGTGGGTTTTTTTTTTTTTTTTTTTTTTTTTGTTTTTTTTTTTTTTTTTTTTTTTTGTCTTTTTGTGTTTTTGAAGCGGTCTCCTTGTGGCCCCAGCCGTCTTGGAACTCCCTATGTAGAGCAGGCTGGCCTTGAACTCACAGAGATCCGCCTGCCTCTGCCTCCCAAGTGCTGGGACTACAGGCGTGTGCCACCACGTCTGGCTTATTTTGTGTTTTTTATTGAAGTTTCTAGAAATATCAACCCGTGTTTCCTTTTGGAAAAGTATTAATATAAACGATTACTTTTCTTTCTTTTTTTTTTTTTTTTTTTTTTAACATTTATTGTGTGTGTACCATTGTTGAGATCAGAGGACAACTTGTGGGAGTTGGTTCTTTTCTTCTACTTGGTCAGTCCTAAGGATCAAACTCAAGTCCTCAGGCTTACTTGCTGAACTATTTTGCCCCTCACACTTATATTTTTTTATTATATAGAAAAGTATTGAAATATTTGTTGTGCTTTACGAATACTTAGCACCTAGTAAACACTTAAATACTGCTTTGAGAGGTTGGTTAGAAACCCACTTTTTAAAAAAATTTTATTTTTATTTTATGTGTATATATATATTGCCTGCATGTAGGTAAGTGCACCTGTGTCGTGCAGTGCCCACGGAGGACAGAAGAGGCTGTCGGATCCCCTGGGACTAGAGTTATGGACAGTTGTTAGCTAAAATATTTAAAAAAAAAAAAAAAGAATATTTGTAACTTGACATGTGTACCTTAGGTGTGGGCCACTCTACTGACAATTCTAGTTCCCAGCTCCAGTTCAGTTTGGGGTTGAATACAGGCCTCATATATGCTAGGCAGGTGTTCTACCACTGAGACAGGAAAATGGCAAATTTAATACCGGCCTGAGCTATAGAGCAAGTTCAAAACTAGCTTGGGAAAATGATAACACTTTGTGCCTGGGTGTCCTCAGAAATATCCATTATTGGGAGCGTTGTCATCCATAGATCTACTAGTGTGCTATTCAGAATGAAAGCTTGTGTCTTGAACTCACACATAACCTATTTGGACTGGCACCTTTGACCAAGAAGTGTGTCCATGTTGCTGAGGACAGAAATGGGCCCTTTGGAGAGTTGTCCAGATGTTATAGGCCTGTGCTAGAACTGTGACTGTAGCTCAGTTGGTAGAATGCCTACCTCACATGCATGAACCCCTGGGTTAAACCCAGCACCTCATAAAACCAGGTATAGTGACGCAGGTGTGTAATCCTAGGTGGAAGCAGTTCAAGATCATCTTTAGCTACTCAGTGAGTTTGAAACCAGCTGACACAAGAAGAAAACCAGCCAGTGCTATTGTCTGTCTCTTGAGGAACATGTGGTTGTGGGAACTCCAGAGTTTGACAGGGAGATGGCTCACTGTAAAAGGAGCAGGCCAGCAGTCCCTGGGTGTTCAAGAGGGATACTTTGGGCTTCTAAGAGATATAAACAAGACTGTTTATGTCAACTATAACACAAAAAATTATCACATCAGTGGGCCAATTACAGGTTTCTAACAGATGTAAAAACAATTCACTTGATAATCAGAGCTATCATTCTTACGTTAATCATGTCTCTAAGTGATTATAGTTGATCTTCTCAACAGCCTCTTACTATACTTTGCATGTCATTGGCATTTCTTTAAAATGTAGACTTTATTTCTGTTCACAGAAGTCAGATTCTAGTATAGCCATTTAAAATGAGTTTTCTTTAAATAAAAATTAGTTCTTTGGTTATGTTCTGGAAATTTAAGTAGTTTTCAAGATTATAGGAACCATTGATCATTTCCTTCTGTTCTGGTCCCGTGTGTCCCGTCCCCGTTCCCAGTTTTGGAAGATATGCCCCATGGAGGACATTTTGGTTCGCCTGGGAATGGATTCTCGATCTGTGTCTCGACGCTTGGTGAGCCTCATCTTCAATTCTTTCCTGCCTGTGAACCAGCCAGAGGAGGTATGGTGCGAGCGCTGTGTCACACTGATCCAGATGAATCGTGCAGCTGCCAGGAAGTTCTATCAGTATGCCCATGAGCACACCGCCTGCACCAACATAGGTCTGGATCTCTGCGGCTTCCCAACCCGTTGCCCCTCCCTTAGACCTTAGTGAACATGACAGACTCTTCACAAGTGCATGCTTTTTTGCATTTCTTAATGATTGTCCTTAAAGTAATACTCATCACTATTTGAGATTATAATCTTCTTATTAGAAAGTTTATTTTGTAAAAGAAACATGTAATTGTTATTTTAACCACTTTAGCAAAGCTCATTCACATCATTCGCCACTGCTTGAATGCCTGCATCCAAAGGGCTCTGCGAGAGCGCCAGGAAGCCCACAAAGAGTGCGAGAAGGAGAACATCAGCGTGAGTGACCCTCTCACTTCCTACTAGAGATAGGCAGAATGCAACTTGGTATCATTTCTGTGGCTCTCAAGGTGTTTTTATTTCCTACTTGTTTCTTTAGTAGGGATGGTTAAGTAGTTTATGAAAGGTCATAAATTATGCTTTTTAAAAAATTGCTACATATCTTTTGTAGTTCACTTTTAGAGTCTGATTGGATAATGTACAAAAGAAACTGCTCTTACTGATGGCACCTTGCCTCATATTCTTTGTCCTGAACCTCTCTGGGTCCTTTGATTCCTTGCCACCCCCGACCCCCAATGGGGTATCACTGCTGAGCTAGATACTGAACATGGAACTGGTGCCTTTCAGAGCCACTGATTCTAGAAACGTCTTGTGGCTGCTCTTCTGGGTGCAACCTTTGTGTACAATTATCTTAATTGGTTAATCTTTTTTGTAGAACCCAAAGTAATATTGAAATGAGAAACCAGTTTAGGTTTTATGCACACTTACTGCTTACAAGTAGTATGTTGAGTTTACATGTGGACTTTTTTTTTTTTAATCTTTTTGAGACAGGGTCTCCCTGTAGTCCCAGCTGTCCTGGAACTCACTATGTAGACCAGGCTGACCAGGCTGGCCTTGAACTCACAGAGATCCGCCTGCCTCTGCCTCCCAAGTGCTGGGATTAAAGGCGTGCACCACCATGCCCAGCTATATGTAGACTCTTAAGATGAGGGTATCTAAAGTAAACTTTGGGAGTTGTTTTGTAGTACCCAACCAGATTTAGGAAGCTACCCTGTAGAAGAAAATGACAAAACTAGTTTTTCTTTGATGAAAGTCTATGCCAGTGTGCCCACTATATGGCCAGGTTGTGGGCTGGCGACCGCTACTCTGTGCCCCACCTGGAGCTGCTAGACTGCTGTGTTTAGACTCCGCCTCTTCCTGTGGAGTGGCTTGTCTACAAGTGTCACAGTTATTTCATTGTGTCCTCTCATCACATCTTGACAGGCCACAGCCCTTCCCTTGAGTAGATGTCCATTTCTCTTAGCTCCTATACTGGGCTGAAATTGGTTAGTAGAAACTGCTGGAGAAGCACAAGGGAGCCGGTGTGCAGTGAGGGAGAGGAACGTACAGAGCAGTGTGGCTTTCACTGTCACACCTTGGCTGAACTTTGGCTTCTCCTGTGCTCAGAGCTGCCTGGTTGGTGGTGCTTCGGCCTTTTCTGCTCTTCCTGCTTGTATATAGGGTTATGAAGCTTTTCTGGGGTACTTCTTAGGGAACTTAGCTGGGCTACCATGTAGGGATTGTGCTGTGATTACTAGGTGAGCCTGGCATGTGAATTAAGGAATGAGCATGGATAGAGGTGGGTGTGGGTGTTGTGGCCCACTGGCTATGGGTATATGGCCCTCTGTACCCTTAGACTGGGAGTAGAAATAATTTTCCCAAAATGAACATGTATTTGGTAATATAGTAGTTGAGAGACTTCCCACAATTGTAAATATTGGAGAAATTCTCTAGCCTTGTTATTAATAGCTTGATACTACTGAGGAAACTTTTGGGGCAAATTCTGTACTGTTAGAAAAGACAAGGATTAGAAATGTACAGTTCCATTGTACCCTGTGCAAAATAATTAATAAATTGTCATAAAGATTTTCATTTTAGTTTGACAAAGGTTTAGGAATGTATAGCCACATTGTTTATAACTTGCGATAGAAAAAATATAATTTGTTGACTAGGTATGCTAAAAACATAGGTGTGGCTGAAGGGTTTTTTTGTTGCTATTTTAGAGAGCCTTAACTATGTAGCCCTAGCTGTCCTGGCAGTCCCTGTGTAGATCATGTTTTCATTGGACTTGTGATGATCCTCCTGCCTCTGTCTCTTGAGTGCTGTGATTATAAGTATGTACTACCACACCCAGTTCTAAAAATAAAGTTTTTGAAGAGGCCTGTTAAGCCTTTCTTGTGGCCATCCAGTAAAAACAAGATGTTCTCTGTTAAAATGTTGGCTTTGAATTTAAGGAACTATTACTTAGAATCCTAGCACATTTTTCAAGTAATATTCTTAGAGGGGAAATGTAGGTTTCATGAATTTTAATGAGGTCACTATGCTAAATTATTGAGCTTTTGTGGTTTAATTTAAGATAAATAAATCTGAGGCTGGAAAGATTGTTTAGTGGTTAAGAGTATATACTGCTCTTGCATAGGAACCTGGGTTTGGTTCTTAGCACCAACATGGCAATTAACTACTATAACTCAGTTTCAAGGGACCTGATGCCCTTTTCTGGCCTCAGTGGGCACTGCACATACATGGTGCACTTAGATACATGCAGGCAAAGCACCCATACACGTAAAATAAAAATATTTCAAAAAATTAAATAAACCTATTTACATTTCTTATGGTGGCAGAACAAGCCGATCATGTATCAGAATACTCACTGTAAATGCAGACTGCTCCAATAAAGCCCCTTCTGTTGTTCACAGAGCTGGAGCAGGAAAAAGTAAGGCTAAGCCCAAATGAAATGTTTGTTGTTTTTTTTTTTGAGACAGGGTCCCCCTGTAGCCCCAGCTGGCCTGGAACTCCCTATGTAGACCAGCCTGGCCTTGAACTCAAAGGGCTCCGCCTGCCTCTGCCTCATGAGTGCTGGGATTAAAGGCATGTGCCACCACACCTGGTCCACAATGAAAATTTTGGTCATCAGTTTGTCACATTATTCTTCTGGTAGCATCTAAGCCACTAGCAGATTGTTTGCTTTGTCAATTTGATTAGTCTTAGCACATCTCAAAGCATTTAATGCATGATGGGATGGCTGACTATAGAGAAAGTGCATTTATGACTTCTTTGTATTCTTATTAATCACATTCAGTTTTCTGCTGATCTCACATTTGAGTAGTTAAGACTGAGCCATCCTCCTCAACTCAGGAAATGATTGCAGGAATTATGTATGTCTGCTGAGCTCCATGGGCAGAGCCAGTCACTGTTGTGCTGCCATAAGGCACAGTCAGGTGTGGCTACCAGCTCTGGAGAGGGGGATTTCGGTGTGCAGGCCTGGTTTGCAAGGAGCTTTCTGGTATGGGATCATTGTGTACTACCAGCATAATAGGAAAATATAAAGAAGTTTGTTTTGTTTTTGGTGTTTTTTTTGGTCTTTTTGAGATAGGGTCTCCCTGTAGCCCCAGCTGTCCTGGAACTCCCTATGTAGACCAGGCTGGCCTTGAACTCACAGCGATCCGCCTGCCTCTGCCTCCCGAGTGCTGGGATTAAAGGTGTGCACCACCACGCCTGGACTCAAGAAGTTTGTTTTGTAACAAACAAAAGAAACGTATGATTTTCGTGGTTGTTGATCATCATTAGTCGTTAACCAGCTTGAGTTGTATTCCACTGTCCACAGAAAGGTGTCTAGCTGCACTGCCTGCTGAGGAAGGCTAGTGTGGAACGTACGTGCTCAGTGATTGTCTCTTTAGTAGGTTATACTCCTGTTGACTTGGGAAATGTGGGAAAAGTAATAGTTCCTGGTTTTAGAAGCACTTTGATCCACATAGTCTGTTTCATTAAAGGATATAGAGTTAATTTAGAATTTATTTCTTGGATGAGATTTGAAAACATATTTACCCTCCTAATACAGGTTCTAAAGTTGTGAATAAAGTTATATTACAACATGAAAGTTTGATGCTACACATTTTACACTGTTTTGGGTGTGTAATTCTGAGATTCTTCACTGTAACATTATTTGTGTCTTAGGTACTAGACAAAACATTGTCAGTGAACGACACTGCATCCATGGCAGGTTTACTAGAAATCATCGTGATCCTCTGGAAGAGCATCCATAGAAGTCTAGAAAGTAATACAGAGGCCAAAGTTTATACCATTAACAAATTTGCATCTGTACTTCCAGAGTATCTGAAGGTATTCAAGGTAAGTCTGGGCCACCCTTGCATTGTAATGACATTGGTTTACTCTTTAGTAGAAATTATGTCTGTACAGAGCAGGAAGGTTGCAGTGGCACTTACCTCACAGTAGAGTTAGTGTCTTCCCCTCTGCTTTGTATCCTTGGCATCCAGAGCAAAATGTCCAGTGTGAGCACCCAATTTTTCTTTCTGATGTCAAAGATTGTGTGGGAACTAATCTGACTTGCAGTGTTGGGAAGAAGATGTTATGGATAAGAAGATTCAGTCTTCTGGAAATCTCAAGTGTCTGAAGGTGCAGAAGAAGCAGATAACTCTGTAGCATGAGTTGTTTTTGTGTTATCAAGGCAGATGGGTTACATGTGATTTCATTTTTTTCCCCCCTCTGGTCTTTTTGAGACAGGGTCTCCCTGTAGCCCCAAAAGAAAGAAAAGATATTTTTAGGTGCTGGGGAGATGGCTTAGTTGATAAAGTGCCAGCTATGCAATCCAATCATAAATACCTTAGTTTGAGCCATAGAACTCACATAAAAGCGGGGACATGGCAGCACACAGCAAATGCCTATAATCCCAGCGTTGGGTAGATGAAGATAGGAGGGTCCCTGGAGTTGCTGGCCAGCCACTCTAGTTGAATTGGTGAACTCCAGGTTCATTGAGCAACCCTGTCACAAAGAAATAAGGTAAAGAGTGATAGAGGAAGACAACCCACCACAAACAGTTATTAGCTGCCATGTGAGTGCTGGGATTTGAACCTTGGTCTTCTGCAAGAACAGCCAGTATTCTTAACCGCCGAGCCATCTTTCCAGCCGCTTAATTAGCTTACAAAGTAGTGAGTTTCTAAAGGGCTTTTTGTATACCCCTGGTTTTAGTTAACTCTCTACGCCCTCTTCTGTCCCATCCCCTTCCCCTATCCACACTGACCCATTCCAGTGTTTTCTCCTCTGCATTCACAGGTCTCGTGCACATAAAGATATTTTTAATTGACAGATAAAAATTGTGTACATTCTATTCTTCAGCATGATGTTTTAGAGTGTGTGTGACTTGTGGAATGGTTAAATTGAGCTACTTAACAAATGGATTACCCACCTATCTATCACTCTCGATGCTCTTGATTTTCAGGAATATGTACATGGCTATGACCTGTTGCTACCACACTGTACAGTAGATATCTTGAAATTACTTCTTGGGGCCTGGAGAGTTGGCTCAGTGCTTAGGAGTACTTGTAGCTCTTGTAGAGGACCTGCGTTTGGTTCCCAGCACCCACATGATGACTGTAACTCCACTGTAACTCTAGCTCCAAGAAGATCTGACACCTTCTTTTGGATTTTGCAGCCACTGCAAATACCTACTGTACTTTCATCATGCAGGCAAAACACTCATACACATAAAATAAAAATAAGTAAAAATAGTATACATGAAAAGAAATTACTCTTTGCAAGCCGGGCATGGTGGCGCATGCCTTTATCCCAGCACTCAGGAGGCAGAGGCAGGCAGATCGCTGTGAGTTCAAGGACAGCCTGGTCTACTTAATGAGTTCCAGGCCAGCTGGGGCTACAGGGAGACCCTGTCTCCAAAAGACCAAAAAAAAAAAAAAAATTACTCTTCCCTAGTTAGAATTTACATTCATTGACCCACATATCCCCCAATCCCAGTCTTCGTGTGGTAACCACCATCATCTCCCCGTGTGAGAGCTCCGTTTGGATGGAAGAAACCATCTTGTTCCTTCATCATTCATTTCCGAAGAAAGTTTATATCTGTTCTAGTTTGATTTCTGTTGCTGTGATAGATAAACACCATGACCAGAAGCAATTTGGAGAGGGAAGGGTTTATTTGGCTTTCAGTTTATAGTCCATCATTGAGGGCAGCCAGCGCAAGAGCTTGAGGCAGGAACTGAGGCAGAGACCATGGAGGAATACTGCTTACTGGCTTGCTTTTAGGCTCACATTTTGCCTTTCTTATGTAGCCCAAACCCATCTGCCTAGGGATGGTACTGCCCGAAGTAGGCTGGATCCTCCTATATCTTTTAGGAGTTAAGAAAATGCTCCCACAGACAGGCCCACAGACCATTTTGATAGAGGTAATACTTCAGTTGAGGTTCCCCCTTCCAAGGTATGTCAAGTTGACAACTGAAGCTAACTATGGCAATATCTCAAACCAAATTTTAGGAAAAGTCTTACCATATCAGTGTAAATGTATTATTAATTACAAAGATCACAGGTCTCATGAACCAGCCTTTTCTTCTTCAGTTTTAGCGTTAGCTTTTTAAACTTTTTTTTTTTTTTTTAATGTATATGATGTATTGTTACCTGCATGTGTGTAAGTGGACCCATGTTGTGCAATGCCCAAGGAGGTCAGAAGAGGGTGTCAGATTCCCTGGAACTGACAGTTGTTAGCTGCCATGTGGGTGCTGGGAATTGAACCCAGACCCTCTGCAAGAGCAGCCAGTGTTCTTAACTGCTGAGCCATCACTCCAGCCCCCAGCCTTAGCTTTTCTACCAACTGTGGCTGTAACTGAACCACTTTGATTTTTCTGAGCCTTTCTTCTAAAATGAGTACAAAGCCAAATTTTCCCATAAATTTTAAAACTCAGTTACCTTGGACTGGGAAACTTGTATTATCTCAGAATCTCTAAGACAGAAACCCACAGAATGCTTCTGTGCTGCCAGTAACAGTATGTGAGCTTGATGGAGTCTGGGAGGGCAGTGATCAATCACCTCTGGTGATTCTTCAGATATCTCCATACTGGACAGTTTCTTAACACTATTCCCCGGGAGACCTGAGCAGACGTCTGTCTACCCCAGCTAGGGAGCCAATAACAGATCAAAGTAAGGATTTCACCAGCATCCAAGCTGGTGAGCCAGTGGAGTTTTATTTGGGTTACTAACATGGGTATAGGTGAGGGGTTACTTACAGATGCAAGGATGACTCAGTAGCAGCTACACCGCTGAACATCCTCCCCAGCATGGGAGTGGCTCACTGCACAACATACAGGCACCTCTGCTGGACTCTGCCACCTTAGCAGTTCTTACTGTTTATATATATAACCTTGGGGAGGGAAGTGTACCTGGTCAGTTTCAGGGACTTCGTGAGTCTTAAGGCGCCTCCCTTTAGAACTTACTAAGTCTTAACAAGCTTTGGTCTGATAGTGGGCATGGTGGCACATGCCTTTAATCTGAGCACTCGGGAAGCAGAGGCAGGCAGATTTCAGCTCAAGGACAGGATGGTGTACACAGTGAGTTCTAGGCCAGCTAGGACTACAAGGAGATCCTGTCTCAAGAAAGAAAAGAGGAGAGAGGAGAGGGGAGGGGAGGGGAGGAAACAAAGGGAAAGGGGAGAAAAGAACAGAAAAGAGTTCTTTCCTGGGGTCTAGGGAGCCAAAATACATGATTGCAGGTGAGGAGCACATCAGACTTACTGTTCTTTCTGTTTTATGTTTATTTTCAGGAAAATTTCTTTTTCATTTGGGATCCACCATCACCTCATTCTTTCCAGCCAAGAATTTAATGTGGTGTTGTGTGTGTGTATATTTGTTTGGGTAGGCACATGTGGGTGGGTGGGTATGGAGGCCCAGTACAATCTCCACCCTTACTGAGGGAGGGTATCTCAGTTAAATCCACGGCTCACCAGTATGACTAGTCTAGCTAGCTAGCTTGCTCCAGGAATCCCAGCCTCAACCTTCTGGGTGCTGGAATTATGGACAGACCACACACCCACCAGGCATTTATGTGTGTTCTGTGGATCCTAACTCCATTCCTCAAGCTTGTACCACAAGCACTTTAACCACTGAGCCATCTCCAGCCCTTATGTGGGGCTCTTGATGGAGTCTGAGCAATTAAAATATGGTCGGTTGGCTTTATTGTTGCAATAATAATATTAATAAAGTTGCGGTTTATTGCACTTAACAAGCTCTAGGTTTCAGTGTGCTCGTTTTTCTGTGGTTTTATTCTTCCAGTCTTTAATAACATTGTGCATTTTGAGAGAAGGAAACTGACTCTGAGTTCAGCTCCTTTCATGTGTGTTTTACCAGCTGTTAGTTTGTAGGATCTGATTGGACTTAGATTTAGTTTTGTAACTCCAAAGTGTGTACATTCCTAACATTGCCTGCTTCAGTTTGTAGGATGTTGGCGGAATAATTGCCTCCTCTTAAAAGTTACATTCACCTTTAATCCCAGCACTCGGGAGGCAGAGGCAGAGGCAGGCGGATCTCTGTGAGTTCAAGGCCAGCCTGGTCTACATAGGAGTTCCAGGACAGCTGGGGCTACAGGGAGACCCTGTCTCAAAAAGACCAAAAAAAAAAAAGTTACATTCAGGATACCAAGTAATTAACTTTTTCCTTTGATCAGAATCATTTTAAAGTAGACATAGCTCTGTAACTGTCTGAACGTTAGCTGTAGTCAATATTTGCTCGGTAGGAAGGTGCTATAAAAACGTCAGGATATTTGATTCAGTAGTAATCTCACCCTTAAACCTGAGGGTACCATTGGGTTTCATTTTATCCTTAGACATTGGAAGAATTGCTGGAGCACTTTGTGAGCAACTGTGGGAATAAGTTACCACGAAAAACGTCCCAGTGTCAAATCCTGTGTTCGCTTTGTGTTCCTTTTTGTTTCCAGGACGAACGCTGCAAGATCCCCTTGTTCATGCTGATGTCCTTCCTGCCAGCCTCTGCTGTCCCGGTGTTCAGGTACAGGCCACAGAGCAGTTACCGGCTGCCACTGGGTGAATGTCACCATTCCCCTCTCCTGCCTTCCCTTCTGTGTGGAAAGATGCCATGTCAGTGGGCTCCGGGCTTAGCAGCTAAGGAGAGACCATGAGGAATTTGAGCATATATTTTAGTGTCTGGTGTGTAGCTTCTAGAGCCTGTGATCACTCCCGACCACACATGACTCTGAAAACAGAGTGTGCTCACTGTGAGTACAAAATGCACATGGAGTTGGAGCCTTGATGTGAAAGGAAGAACATAAAATATTGAATGCAAATTAAAGTGACATTTTCAGTAGGATTAAGTAAGCTGTTGAAATCCCTTACACCTAGTTCTTTCTCTACTTTATACATGCATAGCTGCCATACTACCTTTTTTTGTGTGACTGGTGAACAAACTCAGGGCCTTGCAGATGCTTGGCATGCCTTTGATCACTGAGCTTCTACTCAGGTACTTTTTTTGTTGTTGTTGGACAATGTAGCTCTAGAGTTCTGCTTATGAGTAAAAAAAATGCCTTTCTTATGTTTATACTTAGAAAAAAGTAAATGCAAAAATGTGTACAAGTGTTTTGCCTGAACATATGTAAGTGTATGTTGTGGGTACAGTGCCTACAGAGGTCAGAAGAGGGTATCAGATCCCCTGGAACTGGAGTTAGGGATGTTTCTTAGCCACCATATGTGTGCTGAGAACTGAACTCCAGGTCTTCTGGAAGATGGCTGAGCCATCTCTCCAGCTGCAAAGTAAATGTTTTTTGGTTTTGGTTTTCTTTTGGTCTTTTTGAGACAGGGTCTCCCTGTATCTCCAGCTATCCTGGAACTCACTATGTAGACCAGGCTGGCCTTGAACTCACAGAGATCTGCGTGCCTCTGCCTCCCAAGTGCTGGGATTAAAGGCGTGTGCCACCACGCCCGGCTATGTTTTTAAAATTTACTTTGTTTATGTATATGGGGTATGTGTGCCATGGTATGGGTGTTGAGATCAGAGGACAACTTTCTAGCATTGATTTTTCTCCTTGTACCATTTGGGTTCCAGGTATTAAACTCAAGTTGGCAGGTTTGTCAACAAACACCCTTACCTACTGAACCATCTTGCCAGTCCCTAAACACAGTGGGTTTTTTTTGTTGTTGTTGTTCTTTAATTTTTAAAATTTTATGTGTATGAGTGAATTGCCTGCATGTATGCAAGTGTACCCGTGTCATGCAATGCCCGGAGGTCAGAAGAGGGCTTTGGATTTTGGAACTGGAGTTAAGAATTGTTCATAGCTACCATGTAGGTGCTGGGAATCAAACCCAGGTCCTTTGCAGGAGCAGTCAGTGCTCTTACCGCTAAACCATCTCTCCGGCCCCCATAAATGCAGTGTTTTGATGCTTAGCAAAAATTAATACCAAGCTGGGAATAGTGGTGCACACCTTCAATCCCAGCACTCAGGAGGTAGAGGCAGGTGGGTCTGTGAGATCGAGGCCTTTCTCTCTCTCTCTTTCCCTCTCTTCTTTCTCTCTTCCTCTCTTTCCCTCGCCCCCTCTCCCTCCCTCTGCCCCCCCCCCCTTTTTTTTTTTTTTTTAAAGTTGTAAATTAGGACCTTTGCCCTAGAGTCTGACAGCTGGCACAGAATGCAGGGAGGTTGAGGAATGAGGCATGTCCTCCAGCTTGCAGTCTCTTTGGGGTTTCACGGTATCACAAGTGCCAATGTAAGAGCAGGACCTGTGTTCCCTTCCTGATTTTTGGTTTTGTGGGAAAGTGAGGGCTTTCTGCTGACATGGTTTTCTCTACTTGATCTCAGCTGTGGTGTAATTTCTGTCCTGAGAAACCAGGAGGAGAACGTTACAAGCAGGAGCTATTGCACGCTGCTAGATTGTCTCTGCTCCTGGGGGCAAGTGGGGCGTGTTCTGGAACTCATTGATGACTGGCTGCCTGTGGAACCACCTCAGGCCAAGGTAGGGGCCGGGTGTGTGTGTGTGTGTGTGTCCGGGTGTGTGTGTG